TAGCAAATCGTACATGAGAGCGAAAGGCCTTGCCACATTCTGCACATTTATAGGGTGCCTGTCCAGTATGGATGATCTTATGTACAGTCAATCCTCTTTGAGTGTGATAGGCTCTGCCACATTCTTTACATTTGTAGGATTTCTCCCCAGTATGCATGGTCTTATGTCTAGCAAATGCTACATGAGAGTGAAAGACCTTGCCACATTCTTCACATTTGTAAGGTTTCTGTCCATTATGGATCACTGTATGTCGAGTAAGGTATGAACGAGTGTGAAAGGCTTTGCCACATTCTTCACATTTGTAGGGTTTCTCTCCAGTATGGATCACCATATGGTTAGTAAGGTTTGAATGAGTGTGAAAGGTTTTGCCACATTCTTCACATTTATAAGGTTTCTGTCTATTATGGATCACTGTATGTCTAGAAAGATCTGAACGAGAGTGAAAGGTTTTGCCACATTCTTCACATTTGTAGGGTTTCTCTCCAGTATGGATCACCATATGTCGAGTAAGGTTTGAACGAGTGTGAAAGGCTTTGCCACATTCTTCACATTTGTAGGATTTCTCTCCAGAATGGATCACTGTGTGTTGAGCAAGGTGTGAACAACAGCGAAAGGCTTTGCCACATTCTTCACATTTGTAGGGTTTCCCTCCAGTATGGATCAACATATGGTAAGTAAGGTTTGAATGAGTATGAAAGGTTTTGCTACATTCTTCACATTTATAAGGTTTCTGTTCATTATGGATCACGGTATGTCTAGAAAGTGTTGAACGAAAGTGAAAGGTTTTGCCACATTCTTCACATTTGTAGGGTTTCTCTCCTGTATGGATCACCATATGTTGAGTAAGGTTTGAACGAGTGCGAAAGACTTTGCCACATTCTTCACATTTGTAGGGTTTCTCTCCAGTATGGATCATCATATGTTGAGCAAGGTTTGAACGACAGTGAAAGGCTTTGCCACATTCTTCACATTTGTAGGGTGTCTTACCAGTATGGATCACTGTATGTCGAGTAAGATGTGAATGAGAGTGAAAGGCTTTGCCACATTCAGCACATTTATAGGGTTTCTCTCCAGTATGAATGGTCTTATGTCCAGCAAATTCTCCTTGAGAGTGAAAGGCTTTGCCACATTCTTCACATTTGCAGGGTTTCTCTCCAGTATGGTATCTTTGATGTTGAGTATCATTTGAGTACTGATGAAAGGACTTGTCACATGCTTGATATTTGTTGGGTTTATGTGCAGTATGGATTCTCTGATGGTGACTAAAATGTGGATACCAAGTAAAGGCTTTATCACATTCTTCACATTTATAGAGTTTCTCTCCACAATGAATTTTCTGATGTTGTGAATGACATGAGTAATAGCTAAGGGCTTTGTCATGTTTTTCACTTTTGGAGACTCTCTCTCCCCTATGGATTTTTTCATGTCTATTTAAATAGGACGATTTCTTAAATACTTTCCCACATACATTGTGCATATTTCCTCCACTATTTGTTTGATGTTGACTACATTTTGAGGACCAGTTAAATGTTTTGCTATATTCATGTTTGACAGCCATTTCAGAAATATGGATACTCTGGTGGATAACAGATATGGAGTGTTGATGAAAGACTTTCTCACTCTTGTTACATTTGTAATGGTTATTTACAACTGAGCATTCTATCTGGTCTTCAGCCTCATGCACACTTTCCCAAGATTTTTGTAAGCATATGTTCTTATGGCTATATTTATCATATTTTCCCACTGGCACCTTTGTAAGTGAGTCTTCTATGCTCTTCTCTAGCAAAAGGTCTTCAGTGTAATGAGAAGTCACAGCTGAAAATCATGAAAATAAAAATGTATTCCATGTGCTAGACTCGGGTAAATAGCCTTTAAAAATAAAACATAGTATTATACCATGGTAAGAGCATAAGTAGGATGGGAAGTACAAATCACAGGTTTCCACTCCATCATAAATATATGTACTTAAGAAAATACTTACCCCATTGCCTGTGTGAGAACTCAAAAAACAGCTAAGACTTTGCAGAATCCACAATGATAAAATGAGTTACATGGAAGAGAAAGTTTAGTAATTTTGCCATCATAATTTCTCTTCCTCTACAATATAGTATGATGCAATCAGATGTGACATCCTAACTCTTGATTTCTTTCTCAGGGAATAAACAGAATAGTGGAGTATTAGTTTGCACTTCTGTCCTCTGAGGGTTTAGGCAAATATTGGTTTCTGTCCTAACATACAGGAAAGACACCTCCTAAGAACAGGCATGAGAGTCTCCTAGAATCTCTAACTTAGCAATTGGTGTTAAATTAATCTCAACAAAGCAACATCATAAACATTATGACATGTATATCTTTGAATTTCAAATACTCCAATTCAAACAAAGTGTGCCAAAGCATAGACAGAACCTGGATAAATGACTCAATAATATGTGGAGCTGCAAATTACAAAAAAGTTTGAGAAGTTTTCATATGAAATGAAGAAACCCTTACTTGAACTACCGCACTACTGCCTGGGTGACAGAGAACATGGTTGATAAAACATAACCATAAAAAGAATTTGGAAAACATCCTTGATATGATATTGGTCTTAGTAACAATTTTTTATAACTACAGGAATAAAAATAAATATAAACAAGTTGGCAACACCAAACTGAGAAGCTTATGCATAGTAAAGGGAAAAGCAAAAAGGGAAAAGGCTTACAGGACAAGAGAAAACATCTGCAAACCATATACTTCATGAGATGTTAAAGCAAGAAAATTATAATCACTTGAATAAAAAGTAGCCCCAAAATAAATAGTTATTTTCCAATGTAGACATATATATTGACAACAGGTATATGAATTTTCACTGAACATCATCAATGGAGGCAATTTCAAATAAACACAATAATGATATATTGTCTCACAGCTGTTAGAATGGCTAATATCAACCAGAAGAGAGACAGAGGGAACTATTTTATTTGAGTTGGAGTCTCACTCTGTTACACAGACTGGAGTTCAGTGGCCACTCCTGGCCACTGCAGCCTCGACCTGCTGGGCTCCAGCGATCCTTCCACCTCAGCCTTCCAAGTAGCTGGAACTATAGGCACACGCTACCATGCCTGGCTCATTTTTGATTTATTGTAGAGATGAGGTCTCGTCAAGTTGCACAGGTGGGTCTCAGATCTGCGGGCTCAGGCAATCCACTCACCTAGGCATCCCAAAGTGCTGAGATTACAGACTGAGCCACCAAGCCTGGCCTAGAGAGAACTTTTGATAAGGCTGTGAAGAAAAAGAAATTCTGTATACTCTTGGTGAGTTTAAAATTGGTAGAGTCATACAAAAATCATTATCAACATTCTTTTAAAAATAAAAAGGGAAGCCGAACCTGGTGACTCAGCCTGTAATCCCAGTGCTTTGGAAGACTGAGGTGAGTGGATTGCCTGAGCCCGTGGGTTTGAGACCAGCCTGGGCAACTTGGTGAGACCTCATCTCTCAAATAAATAAATAAATAAATAAATAAATAAATAAATACATTAACCAGGCATGGTAGTCCATGCCTGTAGTTCCAGGTACTTGGAAGGCTGAGGTGAGTGGATTGCCTGAGCCCATGAGACCTCATCTCTACAATAAATAAATAAATAAATAAATAAATAAATACATTAGCCAGGCATGGTAGTCCATGCCTGTAGTTCCAGGTACTTGAAAGTATGAGGTGGAAGGATTGCTGAAGCCCAGTAGGTTGAGGCTGCAGTGGCTGGGAACAGCCGCTGCACTCCAGTCTAGATGACAGAGTGAGACTCCAACTCAGATAGATAGATAGATAGATAGATAGATAAAAACAGCCACATAGTACAGAAATCGCTTTTCTTGGTATATAACCAAAGGAAATAAAATCAGTATCAAAAAGGTGTCTCCAACCCCTATGGGCATTGTAGCATTTGTCAAGATGGCCAAGCTTGAAAACAACCTAAATATTTGTGGAATCTGTGTTAATTAAGAAAATAACATTGCCTGAGCCCGCGGGTTTGAGACCCGCCTGGGCAACTTGGCGAGACCTCATCTCTACAATAAATCAAAAACTAGCCAGACGTGGTAGTGCATGCCTGTAGTTCCAGCTACTTGGAAGGCTAAGGTGGAAGGATCACCAGAGTCCAGCAGGCAAGGCTGCGGTGGCTGGGAGCAGCCTCTGCACTCCAGTCTGGGTGACAGAGTGAGATTCCAACTCAAAAAAAAAAAAAAAAAGAAAATAACACACACACACACAGACATACACACACACAGAGACACATATATATATATACACAATGGCATATGATTCAGCCAAAAAATTTTTACAGAATTCTGCAATTTCAACTTTATGGATGACATTGTAAGACACTATGCTAACTGAAGTGAGCCAGGCACACACACACACACACAAATACTGTGTGAGAACAGGTACAGTGGCTCAAGACTGTAAACCCATCACATCGGGAGACTGAGGTGAGAGGATTGCCTGAGCTCAGGGTTTCAAGATCAAGATCAGTATGGGCACCTAGGTGAGACCTCAAGTCTATGACAAATGCAAAAAAAAATCTTGGTGTGGCAGCACATGCTTGTAGTTCCGGTTACTTGAAAGGCTGATATGGAAGGATCTCCTGACCCAGCAATGAGGCTGTGGTGGTCATTAGCATGCCACTGCACTCCAGAATGGGTGACAGAGTGCAACTCCAATTTGGGAAAATAAAATCCTGTATGATCTCACTACTGTGAGGAAGTACGTACACTCATAGAGGAGGAAAGCACAACGTGGTCACCAGGGCCTGCAGGTTGGAAAATGGAGATGGTTTTCAATGATTATAAAATTTGAGTTATAACTGAGTTTTAGGGAACTAATGTGTACCATAGTGACTTATCGTTAATAAAGACATCTCATAGCCAGGCTCAGTGGCTCAGCCTGCAATCTCAGCACTTTGGGAGGCTGAGGTGAGTGGATTGACTGAGCCCATGGGTTTGAGACCCATCTGGGCAACTTGGCGAGACCTCATCTCTACAATAAATCAAAATAAGCCGGGCATGGTAGCACATGCCTGTAGTTCCAGCTACTTGGAAGGCTGAGGCAGAAGAATCGCCAGAGCCCAGCAGGTTGAGGCTGCAGTGGCCCAGAACAGTCACTGTACTCCAGTCTGGGTGACAGAGTGAGATTCCAACTCAAAAATAAATAAATAAATAATGACATCTCGGTATGCTTAGAAAATTTGCTAAAATAGAAGACATTATGTGTTGTCCTTACAAAACATAAAAATGGCAACTAGGTAAGATAGTTGATATGTTCATCAATATAATTGCAATCATCATTTCACACTGCATAGGTATATCAAATTATTACATTATTTACAACATATGGCTATTCATTTTTGTAAAAAAAAAACATATGTAGGTATAAATAAAAATATGTATAAAAAATCAGAACCTAATCACACATAAACATGCATACATATGTGTTTGAATATATGCATATATGAATCTAGCCCTAAACTTCATACTAAAGAAAATTTAAGTTATTAAGATACAAAGTAACATGTAGGAGTTTAATATATGTTTACCAATGCTCTACATGATATAGTATACTTAAATTTTTGGTCATAAAGAAAAACTACCAGGCTCAGATTATACTATAAAAGTAAAATATCAGGATTTCATCTATTGAGAGAGAAAATTTGTATTTAGCTGCGACTATTGAGTATGAACTTCAATAAAATCATTGGAAATCTCCCTAGTATAGAAAATCATAAATTTGAACACATGTAACATGTGTCCAGAGTGTTCTTAAAATTTCTCAAACAGATAACAAAATCACTGCTCACATACTTCCAACCATGACGCAAAAAGAAAACATAAAAAATAGCTTGACATGGATTTCCAAATAAATAAACAAATACTTACACATCCCCAAAGCATCAGAAAGGTAGTCAGATCATGCAGTTTCTAACAAACTTTTAAGTGGACTTTGATTTCCTCTGTAAACTTTAAAGATCATTGAAGAAGCAGAGTTTTTGGAGAATTTCAGAACATGGAATAACAGATGTTCATTTTGGATGCAAGAGAAAGAATCCCAGGCTTCTCAGAAACCATTTCCAATGGAGCAGACCGCCTTCTCAAACCACATTTCAAGCTCTAATTCCTCAACCTGTGTCATCTGCTTCATTTACTCCCACTTACCTGGAAGTTTGGCTAATATGTCATGTCTCTTCACATCCCAGGGCTCTTTCCTTTGCTCCAGATGCATGATGAGGTCTGACTTAGAGTCAGCAAGTCCTGTTTTATTAGAAAAATGTCACTTGATTCTTGTTGGGGTTCTTCAATTACAAACCTAGTATTTAGCCAGGCTCGGTGGCTCAGCCTGTAATCCCACGCCTTTGGGAGGCTGAGGTGAGTGGATTGCCTGAGCCCACGGGTTCGAGACCTGCCTGGGCAGCTACACCTCATCTCTACAATAAATCAAAAAACCAGCTGGGTGTGGTAGTGCATGCCTGTAATTCCGGCTATTCGGAAGGCTGAGGCGGAAGGATCGCCAGAGCCCAGTAGGTCAAGGCTGCGGTGGCCGGGAGCGGCCACTGCACTCCAGTCTGGGCGACAGAGTGAGACTCCAACTCAAAAAACAAACAAACAAACAAAACAAAAAACAAACAAGAAAAACAAACCTAGTATTTGATCAATAGAGAACACATTATACAAGGTTCTAGAAAATTAATCCCAAAATACGGTTTCCCAATAAAACCTTAAGAACATTTAGATAGAATTTCCAATTTATGGGTTTCTTCTCATTCTAAGTTGGAGTCTCACTCCATCACCCAGGCTGTAGTGCAGTGGAAAGTTCATGGCCACACCAGTGTTCATCTGTTGGGCTCAGGTAATTCTTCTCCCTCAGCTACCAAGTAACCAGAACTAGAGGTGTGCATTACCACTCCCAGATAACTTTTTTTTTTTAAGTTGGAGTCTCACTTGGAGTCTTGCCAAGTTGCCCAAGCTGTTCTTGAACCCATGGGCTCTGGCAGTCTTCTCAACTCACCTTCCTAAAGTGCTGGCATTACACAGCTGAACCAGTATGACTGGGCCTTAAATTTGTGCATTCTTAGTGCAGTACTAGTGAGTCAATAACTTATGGCAGCAATGGGAATGAGATGTGGGCAATGATATCTATGCCACTAAATTTCTGAACTTACCAATAATGTAGCTAGGAGGACACTGGTCAATTTAAAATAGAGAAGGCTTCATGTCAAAATGAAACATCATTAATTTTTTATTTTCTATGTTAACATATTACCAACTTTTTTTGAAAGTAGGAATCTGAAACTCATTCATGCAAAGCAGAAATTCCCAGAAAACAGTATACAAAGGAAGGACATAAAATCCTTAGTATGAAATAGGGATTGTACTTTGGAAGTTTACTCACCTAGAAAAACCAGGTTTCTATGGATCTCTAACATCACAGTCCTGTACAATATTCGCTGAGGGGAGTCTAGGCATTCCCACTCCTCTGGAGAGAATTCGATGGCCACATCCTTGAATGACAACAACCCCTGAAAACAACAAAAACACATATTTATCAAGTTACCATGACCTCTAGGTAAAGCAAGAGTGAAAAGAACAGGGTCCAGCTGACAAGACAACTATTATTATGCAATAAGAAAATTCATAACATAGAAATATCCTCTAATGCATTAAGTGTGGGAAAAAAGGATGAAATAAAATCATCTCAGCCAGTGTAGACTCTATTTTTCTGAGTGAAACAGCATAAATTTGAACATCAGCACAGGCAAATAGATTTTTAATTGCTATGTTTACATCACACAGAGTACAAAACTCCTAGTGAGTCAGAAGGTCCTCAACAAGTTTTAATTTGTACAACAATGAGTTGAATACCTTGTTAAAATGCAAATTTGGATTAAAAAAAACCTGTATTTAGCCTGAGGTTCTGCACTTTTTTTTTTCAGTTGGTTTGTCTCATTCTTATCCAGACTAGGGTGCCATGGCATAATCACAGCCTATTGCAGCCTTGATCTCCTTGGCTAAAAGAATTCATCCTCCGTAGCATCCCAAATAGTTGGGACAAACTGGTATCAGATGTCAAGGCACACAGGTGGAACACAACATCCATGCTGAGATCTTTTAGCCAAAAGTTATAATAATTTATTATTATTTTTTGAGTTGGAGTCTCAGTCTCCTCATCCAGGCTGGAGTGCAATGGTATGCTCATGACCACTGCAGCCTTGATCTGAAGGACTTAGGAAATCCTTCCACCTCCGCCTCCCAAATATCTAGAACTACAGGTGCATGCAACCAGGCTAGTTTTTCTAATTTACTGTAGCGATGAGGTCTCACCAAATGCCCAAACTATTCTCAAAACACAGGCTCAGGCAATTCTGTTGCCTCAGCCTCCCCAAGTGCTGGGATTACAGGCTGAATCACCACACCCATCCAATATAGTAATTTATAATCTCAACTTAATAACAAGAAAACATGTGTTAGGCAGAAATCAGCCTACAGGTATCTCCCATGGCATGTAATCTCTGAAATCTCTCATATTTCTGGTTGTTGGGATTCTAGAGAGCAAGTCTCTTCTAATTATTCTTCATTCAGATTTTTTTTGAAAGATATTTTACGCAGTAACTGCCATCCTGCTTAAATATACATTTTATTAACCGTGTTCTGCATGGAGCTGTTGGAGCAACTAGATAGAACCTTAACAGTACATGTTCTGGCTAAGAGCAGAGGCTCTTGCCTATAATCCCAGCACTTTGGGAGACTGTGGCAAGATAATTTCCTGAGCCCTTGGGTGTGAGATCACCCTGGGCAAGTTGGCAAGACCTCATCTCCACAATAAATTTAAAAAATTACCTGGGCTCTGGTGGCCATGAGTGTGCCAGTGCATTTCATTCTGGACAACAGAAGAAGACTACAACCAAAAAACAAAACAAAACAAAAACATATATATATATTTGTGTGTGTGTGTGTGTATATACACACATATTTCTATCCTTCATTAGAATCTGAGGATTTATCCAATCTCCAGTGGTATTCTTGGTTACCATGTCTTCCGATGACCCCCTGAAACAAGGGAAAATTTTTAATAATACAGGTGATACATTCATGGTGAGAACAGTATATGACAACTAAGCCCTATGGTTGAAGAGAACAGAAGAGGCTATGTAGGGATCAGTGTCCAACAGACCCATTGAATATCACAGGAAGAACAATAATAGTTGAAACAAACTCATTAGGCAGGACCATCACAAGGACAGCAGCATGGTTTGCAAGTTTTACACACATGACATTCCTTCTGATCTGGGACACATTTACCTGAGAAGCAGTCATTTTTTCTTTTTTCTCCTACTTCTCTGGGATTTCTTCTCAGGTGAGATTACCTAATCAAGTCACACCTATATTTTGAAAATATACCTTTACTTATTTCAAAATTAAATGCCATGTATTTATTTTTTGTTAGAGTCTTACCACCCTCTTAGGAGCCCCTCACTTGCCTTCCTGTTTGCCTGAGGTTCTCTGTGATTTGGTTCTTCCACCATCTACCTGAGGTGGGTCTACTTTATCCTTTAAGATAGTTTTCCTTCTTTACAAATGCAAGATAATCCAGAGGGCAGACATCAATTCAGCCTTTGCCCCTCAAGAACAGTGATGTGTCTAAAACTGCATAGAAACTAGTCGCCAAACCAAAATAAAATTTTTGAGAGTTACTAACTTAATAATATAAATCTTAGACCTAATCAATGCAAAATGGGATAGTTTCAACTCTCAAAAGTTTGACATAACTCCATTTTAGATAGGGGGGCTCTGGCTTCTTTGTGTGATTGCATGTATCTAAAATAATTTTGAAATGCTGACAAGGTTGGCACCAGTATGCAACTGTCCAGACTAACTCTGGGAAAGTGGGAGTATGTGCACTAACTCTGTTTTAATAAAGGAATAAGGAGACTGTGAACCAAGGACAAAGATAATTCACCACTTTCCAGGACTTCTCTCATCGCCCATAAGTCTGCAAGTCTAAGCCACCTCTTGATCTTAGCCGCTCTCTGTCCCACAGCCTGGATAAAAATTTTGATAAAGCACACACAACCCAGGAGGGGTCTTTAGGATGCCGTCCCTCATTTCCTTTGTTTTAGTGTCCCTACTAAATAAAGTCACAACCCCTACTCCAACTCCTTATGTTGAAAGAACCAGATTTGGACCTGGTGACACAAATGCCCAATGACACTAATGACAGATCCTGGAGAGTTCCACCTAGATAATTAAGTTAAGGCCACTGCAGGACTGTCACCCAACATCAATTGCCCATCCCGGCTTCCCCATACACCTTCTCAAAGCCTTTCCTCCCAGGCCCTCGGGAATCCCCACACCACGAGTCCTGGCTGGGGTTTCCAGACTCAAGAACCGGTGTTGGCCAAGAGGCCTCCTTAACGTTGTGATGGAGCCACCATTTAACTCTGGGGAGGAGAGAGGGAGTGGGCCAGGATCATAGCCTCCCCTTCCCCTCACCAGCTCCCCACACAGGTCGGATCCTCTCCACCTCCCTCACGCATTCGGCACACTTGGAGATGGTGAGCTGCACGGAGCGTGCTCAGCAGGCAATGTCGCTGCAGGGTCAAGACCACAGGGTCATGGCCCAGGCCCGCCTACACCGAAGGGACCAGGCTGAGTCACTGGTGGGGTTGTGTCCAGGCTCAGAGCTGACGGAAAGGCCAGTCCCTAAAGAGCCTGGTCATCCAGGTCCATCCCCATCCCCCTCCCCCTCCTGGGAAACCTCCCCACACACTCACCACCTCCTGCCTTCCAAGGGTCGCAGCATCTGTCTTACGAATCTCCCAGGACCTGCTTTTCACAGGGCAAAACAGGCTAAAATGAAGATGTGCGAGGCTGACAGAGGAAACTAAGGTCCAGTAATAACCCAGAAGTTGCCCTCTCACTTCCAGCTCCTGTCTGATTGGCCATTTCAAACCCCAGCATCAGCTGATTGGATAAAACTCCAGGCCATCTGGTCTTGAGTGACAGGACATGCGATCAGACATGGGCTGCGTAAGGCAAGAAAATATTGAGATTTCTCCCAGCTCCGGAATGTGGTAGTAACTTGTGAGGAGGGGCCCCTTACAGGAATTGCGAGGAACACTGGCGTCTGCATGGCTCCCAGTTGGTGGGCTGCGGAGCTGCAAGACTATAATCCCAGCATGTCCCGGGAGAGGTGGTGTCGACCTACAGTCCAACGACCCACCAACCAGGAGTGACACAATCTCCCATCATGCCCCAAAGGGGTTCAAAATCCTCCTCCCCCCACCCTTCTGCCCAGACTCTGGGGCAAGGAGAAATCTAAAGGCATTTTTGCCTATGGAGTTCTTATTGTTTTGAACCTTCTGTCAATCAAGACCAGAAGGGCGGGGCCTGAAGGCTTTTCCAATCAATGGATGCTGAAGCGTGAACTGGTCAATCAGATGGGAGCCGGAAGTGAGAAGGCGGTTTGGGGGCCTTCGTCTCCTGCACTTGAGCAGTTGGGTCGTCCTTTCGGCAGTGTCCTGTACTCTGGCACCCACGTGTATCTTCGCTTCAACCTCTGTCGCCCTGTGATCTGCAGGATGTGGAAGCCCTTGGTGAGGCTGCCGGGACATCCGGAGACTGGGAGAAGGTTAGTGTGCCGGGGGTGTCCCGAGAGGGAAAGTGGATGGACTCGGATGACCCGGGTGTGGCATGACCAGCCTCACCCTCAGTTGACAGTGAATATGTCCCCGCCGGCCGCTGGGCCTGGTACCCTCGGTGTAGGTGAGGCTAAGCCAGGACCATGGGGCTTGTCCCATCCGTGACCGCACCAGCTGAGCCCTCTGTCAACAGTCCCTTTTTCCATGTGTTCGGGACCCAAAAGAGTGGTGGGGAGGATCCGACTGACTGACAGGGCCAACGGAGGGAGGGTCTGGGGTAGAGTTCCCCATTCCTCCTATCTCCACCCCAAGGTTACATCACAACGATGAGGAACAATTTCTCTCTTTGTAGCTGTGGAAATCAATACATTTTCATCAGAAAGTGTGATAGATTAATTGTTGAGTTTCACAGGTGTATGAAAGCATCCATTACATTTGTTTTTTGAGTGAATCTCACTCTGTCACCCAGGCAGCAGTGCAGTGGCACACACACGGCCAACCCATAATCAACCTGCTGGGTTCCAGTGATCCTTCTGCCTCAGTCTTCCAAGTAGCTAGAACTACAGGCATGTGCTACCATGCCCAGCTATTTTTTTTTTTTATTGTAGAGAGGAGGTCTCGCCAAGGTACCTGAACTAGTCTTGAACATGCAGACTCAGATGATCCATTCGCTAAGACCTCCCGAGCCTAGCCGGTAACACTTTCAATGAATTATTTTTTTAATGCTGAGTTTAGTAATAAGAATAAAACTCTCCATGGACAAGAATAAATTTAGCCATATGGGTTGGTTCCAGTTTCCTGTTACTTGGGTAAATAATGAGGAGTAGGTCTGGAAAAACACACTGGTAGATAAGAGGTTTACCACCATATTACAAAGCCACTAGAAAAAACAGATCAAGTGGTCAATATCCCTACACACCAGAAACTTCCAACTGTTGTAAAAGGGTAAATGCTTAAATCAGCACCATGTGGTCCATAAAAAGGGAGGTGTCCATGGTACCTGATTTTTTGTTGTTGTGAGTTCTGATGTTACTGCTTAAGAGAACATTCACAGACAGAATTTCTTTCATTATCATTTCTGCTGGGTTGTCATTGTTAAAAATAAACCATATAGGTTTTCTTTGTTGTGCCCAGGATGGAGTGCAGTGGGACACTCACAGCCACTGCAGCCTTGACCTGTTGGCCACAGGCAATGCTTTCATGTCAAACTTCAGGCATGTGCAACCATGCCCAGCTAATTGCTTGATTTATTGCTGAAGTGAGGTCTTGTTAAGTTGGCCAGGCTGGTCTGGAACCCTGGGGCTCAGGCAATCCTCTTGTCTCATCTCCCAAACTACTGGAATTACAGGTGTGAGCCATTGTGCCCAGCTATCCCCCATGTGATCCTAACATGGCAACATTGTCAAGTTGAGGGTTGCCAGATATGTTCGTGAAAGTTAAATTCAGAAGGGCGGTCACCTGTCCTGATCTGCTTGGGTTAGATCAGGCAGGTAAGCCAGTGAGGTCATATATTTATTGCTGTAGAAGAAATTGCCAGCTGGGCTTGGTGGCTCAGCCTGTAATCCCAGCACTTTGGGAGGCTGAGGTGAGTGAACTGCCTGTGCCCACGGGTTCGAGACCCATCTGGCCAACTTGATGAGACCTCATCTCTACAATAAATCAAAAATTAGCTGGGCATGGTAGTGTGTGCCTGTAGTTCCAGCTACTTGGAAGGTTGAAGCAGAAGGATCATGGGAGCCCAGCAGGTCGAGGCTGTGGTGGCTGGGAGTGGCCATTGCACTCCAGTCTGGATGACAGAGTGAGACTCAAACTCAAAAAAGAAAGAAAAAGAAATTGCCAGTCTTTCTGGCAAGGAGGGTATTTGTGGATAGGAAAGATTTAACTCACACTTTGAACTCCTTGCAGGAGCTCACTGTTTTTGAATCTGTCTCCTGTGACACAAAACAGAAAAATGTAGACTTTATTGCCCTTTCTGGACCCTCTTGCTTGTGGGTGTGGTGGTACCAAGGAAAGAATTATGCTTATGTGAAAGGAATATGCTGGCTGCACATCAAAGCTATGCCAGGAATCCTATCTCTTAGGGAGGCTGAGGTGAGAGGAATGCTTGAGGCCAGGAGTTTGAGACCAACCTCTACAACATAGCATATTCATGTGACTATAAAAAATAATTAAAGAAAACTTAGCCAGGGGTATTAGCAAAGTCCTGTAGTTCCAGGTACTTTGGAGGTTGAGACAGAAGGATTACCTGAGTCCAGGAGTTCAAGGCTGTGGTGCGTAATAATGATGCCACATCACTTCTGCCTGAGTGACAGAGTGAGACTCTAACAAAAAATATATTCAATTTGATTTTAAAATAAATAATGCATATTTTGAACATGTAGGTGTGACTTGTCTAGATCATCTCAGCTGAAATGAAATCCCAGAGGGTCAGGCTGGGTGGTTCAGCCTGTATTCTGAGCATTTTGGGCGGCCACAGAGAGAAGACTGCCTGAGCCCACAGGTTTGAACCAGCCCAGGGAACTTGGCAAGACCTCTTCTCTACAATACATAAAAAATTGGCCAAGTGTGGTTTAGTCTGTAGTTATGGTTACTTGGATGGCTGAGGCAGAAGGATTGCCTGAGCCCAGTAGGTCATTGCTGGTGTGGCTGTGAGCATGTCACTGCGCTCCAACCTGGGCAAAGGAGTGAGACCTCTGACTCAAAAAATAAAATAATTCCAGAGAAGCTGGAGGAAAAGGAAAAAAAAGACCTGGTTCTCAGATAAATGTGTCCCAGGTCAGGAGGACTGTCAATTTTAAAACTTGTAAACCTCACTGCTACTTGTGATGGTCTTGCCTAAAGAGTATTTTTCCATTTTTTTTTTGTTCTTCCTGATATTAAAGGGCTTTGAAGGATGTGCCCCCCTACATACTAGAGACTCCACTCTTCTTAGTATCCACACTGTCTAGTTGCCATGAACTGTTCTCACCATGAATGTATGACCTGCAGTATTAAAAATGTTTCCTTGTGCTTGGGGAACACGGCAATGTGTGGATATCCAAGTTTCCCATTGAAAATGGGGTAGATCCTCAGATACAAGCAAAGGATGGGAATGTGAACGATTAAGATTTCACATGATGCTGGGCTCAGTGTTGCAGCCTGTAATCCCATGCTTTGGGAGGCTGAGGTGAGTGGATTGCCTGAGCCTGTGGGTTCAAGTCCCACCTAGGCAACTTGGTGAGATCTCATCTCTACAATAAATAAAAAAATTAGCTAGGTGTGTTAGCATGCACCTGTAGTTCCACCTACTTGGAAGGCTGAGACGGAAAGATCACCAGAGCCCAGCAGGTTGAGGCTGCAGTGACTGGGAGCAGTTACTGCACTCCAGTCTTGGTGACAGAGTGACTCCAACTCAAAAAAAAAATCAGTAGAAACACTGTGTCAGGACGTTGTAGCATTACATCATGATCAAGCTCCCTTTATGTCAGGGATGCTTAGGAGATTCAGCATTTGGGAATTCATAAATACAGTAAGTCACATTAATAAAATTGATGAGAAAGACATAATCCTGTTAACAGATTAAAAAGATATTGTAAAATTTACAAAAAAATTTACATTTAAAGATCAAATTATAAAGAAGTGTAAAATATTTCTGAAATACATGAAAAATAGTAGAAATAAAAAATAATGAAAATACATGATTGGTAAGTAAGATTAAATGGTTTCATCAAGTCAATAATCTAATCAGATTATCAATTGAGTTTGATACTGATATACAAACAGTTGCTTGTGTTCTGAAGAAAACAAATTATTTTGCAAACAATATTTAAATTGGAATTCCATAAAAAAGTTTGAAAGACGTTATTATCCATAAGGACTTGAAAGTAAAACAATATGATAGTGACTTCAACAAGCATTCCTGCATAACGGACATTTGTATACATAGCCCTGAATTGTACCCTACATTTAAACATAAATAAAGACTGAAAAATCAAGGGAATACACAGGTTTAAAGTAGAATACGATATATATAAAGGCCAGGCATGGTGGCTCATGCCTATAATCCCAAAACTTTGGGAGAAAGAGGTGAGAGAATTGATTGTCTGAGCCCATAGGTTTGAGAATAGCTTGGACAACTTGACAAGACCTCATCTCTACAATAAATCAACAAGTTAGTCGATCCTGGTGGTGTGTGTGCTTGTAGTTCTAGCTACTTGAAAGGCTGAAGTGGAAAGATCACCTGAGCACAGCAGGTGGAGGCTATGGGAGATGGAAGATGCTACTGTACTCTAGCCTGGGTGACAGAGTGAAAATCCAACTAAAAAAAAAAAAGATGAGTATCAGTCAAAGTTTGCATGCTCTAAAATCATGACATTCCAGTAGGAAAAGAGACAGAGCCCCTGACTTGGAACACATTTACCTGAGAATCAGCCATTTTTGCCACAACTGCCTCTGGCATTTCTTGTCAGATGAGATTATCTGGACAAGTCCTATCTACGTGATGAAGATATGC